ATTTTCCTATATATATATATAGTCATTAGCCTAGCTTGTTATAAAAGCTTTTCCTTATAAAGTTTTTTTGTATGTCCAATTTCGAAATCAATGATATACAAAAACATTGACAGATTACTAGCAATTTTATGGTTATTGATTCATGATTGTTCTTCAGATTCCGAACTCGTCATTTTGGTTTTTGTCCTAACAAGTGGTATCAGAGCGGGTTCTTGTAGATCTCAGCTATTATTGCAAGAATCGATCAGAAATGGCGAAATTTATTCATGAATCTCACTCTGTTATTCAAGTTTTGCAAGTTTTCTGAAGAGGAAGTGAAATATCTCTTGTTTTTGCAAAACTTGATTCAGATATGTTATTTTCTACATGTAGAACCCGATTCCTGGTACATATTTAAATTCAAGAAATGTTGCAATTTACTCTGGGACTCGGCGAGTTGGAGGCCCAACTCGTCGAGTAGACTCGACTTTTGATCGGGGGTTTAAGCGACCTACTCGACGAGTCGGGAGACCGACTCGACGAGTAGGAGCTGTCTGGACAAAACCCTAATATTTAGGGTTTGCACCCTATTTAAACAACTTATCTCCTCCCATATCAGCCTCCATCGTCCCTCACACTTCCAGAAGACCTTAAACTGAAACCCTAGCCTTGTTTGAGTGCTCTCAAGCCATTTTTGTGTGTGTTTGAAGTTGGAGAAGAGAAGGAAGTTTGGGAGTTCAAGTAGAAGCAAGGAGATCCAGAAGTTTTACTTCATTCTCAGCTCATTTAAGGTAAAAAGTTGGAACCTTGACCATTTATCTCTTAGATTTTGTTTTGGGGTTATTTCTACCCTTTTAATGAGTATAGAGAAGCAAAAATAGAATTTTGTGGGTGTGCTTAGAGTTGCACTTCGGATATGGGGCTATTGGGGGTCTTTATGGCATAAAGGTGCCAACTTTGTTGCCATAAACACCCCATGCATCTTGTAGACCTCCTTTTATAGCTTTTTGAGTCAAAGGCCCCATGCATGTACATCAAGCTTGAAGCTTTACGTATAAAATGGACCCTAGGAGGCCAGATCTATGGTTTTGAGGAGGCACGCGCCGCACCCGATGTCTGAACTCAAACTGAGGACTTGGTATGATTTTTTTTTAAAAAGGAAAATCATTTTTATGAAAAGAGGTTGAAAAGAGAAAATAACTTTAAAAAAGAACAAGGTGTGTGATGTGCGCGACCGGCCGAGCTCAAGTAAGTTTTCCCCAAGATACCCATACATGTTCTGATATGATTTGTATATGAGAATTGCATGCTAGATTAGGGCTAAAGATCTAGGAAGGATGCTTTATATGCCTATTGTTGTACATGAGAACTGCATGCTAGATTAGGGCTGAGGATCTAGGAAGATGCCTGATATGCCTGTGATATGTGTTTATTGAGCTGCAAGATAATATTGATTAGTCAGTTATAAGATATCTTGGATAAAGTAAGTTTGATTGGATTACTTAACGTTCGAATGTTGCTTGCTTTGTGCTAATAGGAGTTCTAGTTATCTTTACTTAACTAATAAACGAATATTTTACATTACATATTGTGAGGATTAAATAATTTCAGAAGGTTAGGTTTAGCCCTATTTCGCAGCTCTTGTTTGAGTCCAACCGTTGTAGGGCAGAACCTCTCATTCGAAGAATTATCTAGTCTTAGTGATATGTGATGGTATTTGCAAGTTAGTTAGGTGAAGGTAGCAGGGACTTCTTATGCAGCTGATGGTGGAGGGTGGGTTGGAGAGTTACCCTAGGGTAAGCCTAGGATGCGATTAGTGCAGAGAACAATAGTAGTAGAAGGGACTTGGTGAAGTTGAGGCAATCCTCGAGGAAAGTACGGATAGATGTCGAAGGTAGTATGGACCCGTACTACTGAAAGCAGAGGATCCGTACTTGAGTCAAGGAAGGCTAAGATGGAATCAGGGATCTGTAGAATGTATGAGACTTCCCAAGAGTTATGTATGATTCTGACAATTATGTGCTCTGTTTCAGAATGGTGATGATCACAAGTCATGGAGGGGGAGGTTCAGGATCAGGATCAGGTTCGGGTGCAGGTTCCGAGCCAGTGGACGAGGGACTACGCGAGTTCATCGCGTCTGAGATCACGAGAGATATCCTTGATTCGACCCCGGTGATTTTCGGGTCGATCAAGGAAGGGATCATAGAGCTGATGGAGGATCGCCTCAGTCAGGATCACGCACACTGTCCTTCAAGGACTTCAGGGGCAGTGGTTCACCGGATTTCCATGGGGTGAAGGACCCCATTGCTGCCAGACGATGGATTGCAGACATGGAGTCTGCACAGATGACGAGCTTCTGTCCTGAGGGGTCGAAGGTTCGTTATAATGCGGGATGTTTGAGGGACAGGGCTAGGGATTGGTGGGAGTCGGTTGGTGACTCTCTGGGAGCCTCGGCTATTGAGGCTATGACTTGGCCGGATTTCGTAGCCCAGTTCAGGGCTGAGTTCGCGCCAGCTGTGGAGCTTCAGCAGCTGGCCAGGGAGTTTCTCGATATGAGGCAGACGACTGAGTCAGTGGCGGAGATTACCGCCATGTTCCGGGAGAGGGAATTGTTGGTGCCCCAGTATGCGGGGGACGAGGAGATGCGGAAAACCCGCTATCATGATATGTTACAAGCTGATATCCGGGAGCATGTCAGCTACTCAGCTTGCCCGACCCTGGATTCTATGATCGCCAAGGCGAGGGAGAGGGAGATTGATTTGGAGCACATCCGGAAGAGGAAGGCGGAGGAGGGTCAGGTGACCGGGGTTTCGGGGAAGAAACCCAAGGGATCCGGTGTTAGGTCGAAAGGCCATCAGGGAATCAAAGAAACTCCAATTGAGGGAATCAAACGCCTTGTCAAAGTGAACTTTGAAGATAAGGACTTTCTTTTTTACTTTATTAGCCCACGAAAGCAGTTCATTCAAAAAGAGTGGACCGTCTAGAATACTTATTCTCTCAATGTAAGATGATTGCTCCGGGCTAATAACCTTACCAATAACAGATTTAAGCCTTAGATTGAGAACTTTTGAGATAATCTTATACATGCACCCAAATAATTTAACTAGTCTGTAATAATTTAAGAAGAGAGGCTCTTTTCTTTTTGGTATAAGAGATATAAAGGAAGCATTACACCCCACCTCTGATAGTTCCAGTGTCCTCATAACTTTTAATAAAGCCAAACATATCTTATTTGATAACATCCCAACACTTTTTTATAAATTTAAAGGTAAAATCATCAGGCCCTGAGGCTTTATCATTGCCACAACTCCACACAACATCTTTAATTTCATCCAGCAAGAAGGGAGCGTCTAGGTAATCACAATCAGAAAGAGATAATCTCAAAAATTTCGAGCTGGTGAACTTCGACCTGCTATGAAACGGTTCAACAAATTTTTTAGAAAAGAATATCCATATCTCAGTCTTTATACAAACAAGATCAGTAGTCCAATTCCCATCAATTATGAGCCCATTAATTTTGCACTTCTTTCTGTTTCCATTAATCGAGCTGTGAAAAAATCTACTGTTCTCGTCTCCTTCAACATCCCATCTAACCCTGGCTTTCTGTTTTAAGTCAAGTTTTTTAATAGTATCAATTTCTTACAACTTACTCTTCCATTCTTTCCTCATCTGCCTTTCAGGGCATGTAAGATGTCTCGACTCAGCAATTAGTTCCAGATTGTCAATCTGATTAGAAAGTTCAGAGTACTCCTCAATTTCTTTGGATTTGGCTTCAAATCTCCATTTTTTAATGTCCAACTTTAACCTTTGAAGCTTCCTCAGAACAACAATATCAGCTAAATGAGAATTGATATCAGCACCCTAATAACATAAAACCAAATACTGGAGTTCATCAAAAAGAAGCCAAGAATTAAAGAAACGGAATGGGCTTGGCCCATAATCATGGAAATCACTCACAAGAATAAGAGGACAATGATCAGAGGGTAATCTAGGGAGTTCAGTGACTGAAGCATTGACCCAATGAGCAATGAAGTTGTCACAAACAAGGAATCTGTCAATTTTGCTCTAACTTCTACCATCAAGGCTCATCCGTGTAAACCTCCGTCCTCCAAGATTGAATTCGGTTAGACCAACCTCTCTAATGAAGGAATTAGATGCTTCTATACTTGAAATACAGACCAAATCAGAGAAACGATCTTCTTTATATCTAAATTCATTGAAATCTCCCATAAAAAGCCAAGTGCCTTCATTTCTACTATGCTTTAACTGTACCAATTGAGTCCAGAGCAATTGCCGTTCTTCGATGTCATTAGGGGCGTACACATTAACAAAGTGTACTATGAAATTAACATCTTTCCAAATGCCCGAGGTAAAAATAAAATGACTACCGTTTATAATATCCTCAACCCTGAACAAAAATGGATTCCATATACAAAATAGCCCACCGGATCTTCCCCTTGACTCGACAACCACGGATTCGAAAGACGAATTATCCCATAATTGGTTTATTTTAATTGCAAACCCATCAACCATTTTTGTTTCTTGACAACTTATGAGGTTAATTTGGTGCTCTATTTTCATCTTTCGAACCCATTCTGCCTTGCGAGAGTCACCTGCACCTCTTAAATTGAGAGAGAGGCAATTCATTGTGAAAACCTTTCATCTCCTTCCCCATTGATGACCGTCCTGAAAGACCATTCAAATCCATTCATTTGGTAGCCAATCGCATTGCCAATTTCCAAAGTTTTATGTACTTCAAGTGACGTTGAGCTGGCGGATAAAATGGGGCTATTGTCTGAAGAACATGAAGATGCTCTATCATTATTTGAGGCAGAAATATTTCTTTGATGGGGGTTGCGTTTTATTTTTTCTTTGCTTTGATTTGAAGCCCTAATGATATCTTTAAATTTTACAGATAAATTCTTTTTTCTGGTGCAAGTCTCTGACTTTGAAATTAAATATTTAATAGAGTCTCCCTGAGTCAACGAAGCATTGATGGGGTTGTTCAAATCTAGAATTATTTAATACCCATGAAACTCTACACAAACATCATTTTTTCTTTTAGGTCCGTCCATGTCATCATGCTCATGTTCTTGGGCTAAGTTAAGACTTTCAATGATTGTTTTATTGGGATCCTCATCGTTTTTGGTACTTCCCACATAAATCCCATATTCCTTCATGACATTAATTTCATCCTTGAGATTGTGAGAGGTCTCATTGGGAATATCGTAACCTCCCGACTCTTCGATTCTAGTATTAGCAATCGGAGCTGCGTCACCGACAACCGTCTCTGGCATGGTTTTTGTTAATTTCGGTAGGTCAATTTCCTCTCCAGAGTCAGATTCATCAAGACATGAATCATTGTTGTTTTCATATGTATCAGAGACGCCATCTTCATTATCGTCTTCGTCTTCCTCACTTTGTTTATCATCATCGTCGCAGTACGGGGGCTGCCAATATCCATCTTCTTGAATGCAAACCTTGAAGGAAATTTTTCTCCAACAAACACCAACATTGTTTAGATTTATTATTTCTTTCCTTGATGTTAGGATGCATATTCTACCAAATGAGAAGTTTTTAGCATACAGAGAACACTCAAACAGGAACAAAACTCTACCGAATTTCTCAGCAATAATCTGGAAAACATTTGAGTCCCAGAAACCGACTAGAACACCATGAATCTTAAGCCATACTGCTCTATTGGATTGAACAAAAGATTGATCCCATCTTTTAAGCCAGCAAATCAGTGTGACCATGAGTCCTCATGCTCAAATAAAAAGGCATCCGCCACTCTAGAACAATTGAATCTTAATAATACATTTCGGCCTCCAAGATATCTCATTGAACAATCTCCCATACCAGTTGACTTGAAATCATGAAACATTTAGAAATAAGATCAATATCTTTGATTTCACCAACTAAACAGTCATTTAACCAACTATGCGGCCAGATATTGAAGCCATCTGGGATGTTAATATTGATAGATTACGGTATTTTGATGACTTTTCCTTTCTCCATGCTTCTGTTCGAATAATCAGTAAAGGAACCAGCAAGTGCATCTCTAAAAGATTTACCCATCTCTGGAGGTGCAGGAAAGTGTCTGTATTGCCCATTTGGAAGCTTTGTCTCCAAATTTAGCTGTATAAGTTGTTTGAGAGCTAGGTATTGCCTGTTTCTTTCTGTCAAATCTTGCAACATTGGCTCTTACTTGTTATTAACTTCTGTATGATTTTAACTTTGATGAACCTGACGAAACTAAAGTTACCCCCAAACCGGTCTTTCTTCTTTGCAACAAAAGCATCAAAAAAAGTTACCCCCATAACATTTAGGAATTCCATCCATCCGGGATGTTTGAAACAAAAAAAGTTGTTGCAATCTTAATGAGTTCTCCTGCATCTTTTTGAAATCTCGTGCTTGGAAAGTTCCTTCTTCGATTCACAGTCCTCCATTCTCCTCTCTCTCCCTTGCCGGAAAATCCATCGGCATCTTTTCCTCTCCCCATATGTAATTTGTGATTTACATTTTATATTTTTGAGCTTAATATCAAATACATTTGTGTGGAAATCCTTTTTGGAAGCATTAATGGTCCAGTACATTAATTGCATCATTTTCTTTTAATGTCGGTTATTCACCAACAAACCACCACAAACGTTGTTCTTGAAAGATGCAAATTGTGCGAATTGATTGGTCAAAGTAAAGCTAAAACTTGTTTCTCTTTCAACCCACAGCATCAATAATATGAATATAAATCGCTACTTTTAATACACTGAAAGTATATATGCTCGTAATCCTGTTTGTTCAAAATATAAAGTGACACATCTACACGACACACATATTTTTTTAGGTGCCCTCAGTGTTTTTTTCCCTTTTGTTGGGACACTAATTTTAGGGCTCGCAAAAATGCGTGTCCTAAATCCTTCTAATTTTGGGAGAGATGACATTATTTTTAGGGCACACACTTTTGCGTATCATAAATCTGTGCGTGTCATAGTTTACGTGTCATTAAAGGGCTATTTTCTAGTAGTGGATGGTAAGTTTTATCTTTTTTTTTAAGTTTTTAATATATATTTTGAATTTTTTTATTTGTTCTTACAAATATTATAATGTGAATGAAGATTGGATGGATAACAGTCCTTCTGTTTCTCGATTTGATATTATTTTTGATGGTTCAAAGTCTTTAGAGGTATATATGTTTTTGCATTATGATTTTGAATCATATTCTATTTGATCATTTTTATGATTTTAATATTATTTTTCAGGATTTTAAGGAGGAGTTGATTTTTTGTTTAAAAGTTATAGTTATTTGAAGCCTACCATTGATCATTGGATCAATCGTGCTTGGAATCTGTTCCCAGGCAATAAAGAGATTTTGGAGTATGCTGATAAAAGAAATGTTGAATAAAATAAACTTCATCAAAATATTGTGTTATCTTGTGGTTCAGAAGTAAATTAGAAGGTTGAAGTTTCCAAGGATTTTTCGAATGTTGAAAAACAAAGTGAAGATGTTCCGCTTTGTCATGAGTTAAGAGATGTTCAACTTGATCAACTGTCAATGACACAATTTTTTGATCATCTAGGGTTCAGGAACAGTTGGAGGTGTTAATGAATTCAAATGAAGTTTTGGAAGATCATAGTATTGAGCCAAGCAAAATATTGAGTGATCCAGTTGTTTCAAATCAGTTTCATGATCCTGATGCTATTATTTCAAACCCTTTAGGAAAGCCTTCTCCTGTTTCTTCAGATCATGCTTTGGTTATTGGTGAATCTTCTACAAGCATTGTAGGTGAAGTTGTTGGATTCAAACATGTAGGGTAGTTGAAAATTTGTGTAAGGAGAATTTGTTGGATTCATACATTGGTTTAGATGCAGGTTTTAGAAATCCAAATGATCCAATTCCTCTTAATAGTTCTGTAGAGAAGATTAAGCAACCTCTCATTTTTTCTGCAATACCAATTCAGTCTTATAACATCAATGCCAAGCCAGGTAGACCAAAAAGAGATCAACAATCGGCTCTAGCACTTTGTTCACCATATCATAAAAAGGAAGTTAATACAACTGAATGCGTTTCACGTTTGGAAGAAAGGGTTGCGGGTTCCTTGTTTTTGGTGATGTGTAACCCCAAGTATTTCCTTATTGATGTTTTTTTATAATCTTAATTTTTTTATCTTAAAAGTTTAGTATATGTTTTTATAATCTTAATTTTCTAGGGAAAAAGTCTATGAATCTACCAATGGATTTGCTGGTATAAGATCCGTGATGGAGTCTCTTATACCGGGTTGTAGGATTCACAGAGATGTTATTGATTTATGGTCTGCTTTTCTGAATGATCTGGAAAAATATAAAGGTCGCACTACTCCTTCAAGGTTTTTCATGCCATGCTCACTTATGGTATGATCCGTATTGTTTTTTATATTTTTTATTTATATTTTATATGTTCTACTTTTTTTTCATTTTTTTAGACAATTATTGTTTTCAAGAAGATGGATAGTATTAATGCATGATTTGTAGACAGAATTCAAAGTCATTTGGAAAAGTTTCCCAATGTTAAAAGTTTACGTGTTAATTTGGTATGTTAATTGATTATTTTTATATTTTGTTATATAAATTAAATTAAATTATATATATATATATATATATATATATATATATATATATATATATATATATTACTTTTTAACATTTTATTTTTTCAACAGGTATTCTTTCCTATTCTTAGGAAAGAACATTACTTTTTGATTGTTTTTTATTTGATCAATGGAAAGATAGAAATTATTGATAACAACATGACTACATGAGGGATCCTTACAAAATATCAGGGTTTTCTTGATAATTTGGTAATTATTTTTTTTTATTTATATTTATTTCTTTGTTTTGTTTTTTTATACTAATAAAAAAATGTTTATGCAGAAGACAATGTTTAAACAGTAATTGACTATTTTGGATCATCCTAGAGTCAATTCATTCAAAATAATGAAGATAGAAAGGTTTCAGATGGACTGGCATACTAAAGACAATGGTGTTGACTATGGGTTATTTCTGATGAGACACATGGAAGATCGCAGTGGTGAAGTGGAGAAGTTAGATGCTGATTTTCTGCCTGAGTGTACCAGTCAAAAGATGCAATTGTCTGAAATGAGGAAGAAATATGTTTGTAAGATGTTGTTGTCAGACATGAATTTTTGCAAAGCTTCTTTTGTTACAACTCCTGAGGATTACGATAATCTATCAAGCTACAAGAGGAAGAAGATTTACACTGAAAGTCATTTACATGAAGTTGAAGTCAGGGTTAAAGCAATAGGTGTTCTCTGATTATTTGATGTGTCTGCTTTTGAAAATATTTTGGTTTTTATGTGATTTGATAAGGAAGCCTATACAAGTATCATTGTTTGTTTTCTGTTTAGAATTTAAATGTATGTTTTGTTATTTGTTTTTGATGATCACCATGATATGGTAAACTATGATACACTTATGATATGGAAGAAATGTTGGTTTATAATGACGCTAAGTAAGTCTATATAAGTATGTTTGTTTGTTTTATGTTTAAAATTTATATGTATATATTTTTTAATGATCACCATTATATGATAATTTATGATCCACTTATGATATGATACAAACTATGTTTTATAATGTTTTTTATTCAAATTATTCATAAAATAACATGTTATGTATGTTAGTATGTGGCCAATGTTTTTAAGCCTTGTTCAAGTATAAAAGTACCAAGGTTGTGGCCCAATGTGTTTTTAAGATAAATAGTATTATAGTTAATGCAAAATTTTATATTTTTTTGAACCATATTTTATTTATAGTTTGATGATGCAATTTCATTGTTTCAAACTTTTATTATGATTTTATAAATTAAATTCCTTACATTATATTAAAAATGTCATGTATAAAGTCATGAACCAAAATTGTTCTTATTCCACTAATATTTTTAATCTTTAATATATTTTATGTTAAATAACTATTTTTTTGGATCAAAGTTTTTGAATCAAAAAAAATATAGAGATTCAAAAGGAAATTATCATTTATAACACCATTTAATTTGATTAAAAACGGATAAATAATATTTTGGATCAAAAAAATATTTATATATAAAGAATAAAAAAGAACTTGATATTTTGAACATCATTTTAATCAACCTATCAAACATTTTTATTAAAATATTTCATTCATAAATTAATGATTCAAAATTGTTTATTTTTGTAAATCAAATTTTAGATCTTATTAAAAAAGTTATATCTATAATTTTGTACCAACATTTTTGCATCAAAATTATAAATATAAAAAGATTTAGAAAGATCTTACCATTTAGAATATTACTTTATTTAAACATTCAAACAATCTTATCAACTACTTTATAGCTCATATTTGAATCAAATCGTTTGCATCAAAAATATAAGGGTAAAATGATACATTAAGAACTTAATATCTAGAACATCATTTTATTTAAAACATCAAACAAACTTATTAATCAGTATATAGTTCTTTTGTTAAAAATATATCAAACAAATTTAATATCTATCAAACGTTAGTTGTCGCGCCTTCTGTTTCTCCCATCATTCTTTGCTTTTTCAACAGCAATATCCTTCTTCCCCTTCGTTCTTTTCTTTGTTTTTCGAACACCTTTGTTATTGATTAATGTAGGAGGTAATATGTCTACTTTCTCTTTCTGTTCCATACCCATCAAAGTCTTAATAACTTTTGTGTTGTTCATTGATTTTGCATTTTTTTTGTTTCATTGTCAACCTTTCTCATCTTCTCATTCATTTCATCTCTAAACAAGATCAATTTGTCAAAATCATTCACCAGACTATCAATGCAGAACTCCATTGCAAATTCTAATTCTCGTATAACAGATTGAATTTCCTCTTTCTTTTCTTTTGTATGGACATTTGGTATTTTATAAGTATTCATGTATCGTGGCACCACATCTTTTGTCCATTTTTTTTGTCAAATATGCTTTTGAATAACTCTCCACACTTTCCATTCTTGAAACATAGAAATAGTGTCTGCATAAAATTCCTGTCAATTCAAAATTGAAGCAAGAACAAAGAAGTTTTTGATCCGATTTAAAAAGTTTAACCTGTAAAAAAAGTAGTAAATAGTCAATATAAGTTAATATAATATGTGTAATATAATTGTAATTTATAATGTACCTCAAATTGGCCATGATGTTTTGGATGTTTGTCTATATCTTTTATTGTAAATGTTTTCAATTCTTCCGATTCTTCTAATCTAATTGGCATGCAACTAACCATTGATGGAACCATCTCTGATTGAATATCAAAGAAAACATTTCTTGTGAAGAATTCAACTGCTTCAACTACAAGTTTCAATCCAATTTTTAAAATCCGGTTTTGTGTATCTTGAATCATGATCATTTTTTCTTTGAATGCATCTTTGTCCTTCTAATGCAGTATCAAAATGAGTTGAAAATTAAATCAAATGCAAAACTGAGTTAGAGAGTAGCCCATAGAAATAATTTTCAGCTTCAGATCTTGATGTAGTCCTCATCAATCCAGAGAATGTGCATTCTTTGAAATAAGAAGGAATCCATAAATCTCTCATTTTGTAGATCTCGTTAAACCAGTTGTATTCATTTAAGTGAAACTCATCCATTAAGTTTTTCCATGTTGATTCAAAATCTTCTTTGAGTATCGTTTCATTCCAAATTAGATCACTCAACCTTTTCAAAACATTTGTTTTTTCCATATGACTTCCCAACTGCATACATATATATAAAATTAAAAAAAACATTTATATTAAATAAAAAAACATTTTATAATTTTATACTAACCTTGTCAGTAAATTTTTGTGATATATGCCACATACACAATCTATGTCTTGCATTCTTGAATACAGTTGGTACTGCTTGTAAAATTGCAGCATCTTGATCTGTCACTATCACATTTAGCTCTTTGAGAAATGCTTTTTTGAAAGCATGTAGTAACCATGAGTAAGATGCAATGCTTTCACTTGAAAGTAACCAAGTCCAAAAGTTATGCATCGTTTATGATTATCTATACCAGTAAATCGTACAAAAATCATCCTATATCTATAAAACAAAGAAACGATAAATTTATTTATTCAAATTTTTAGTAATGATGCAAATTATTTATTTAAAATTTTTAGTAATGATGCAAATTATTTATTTAATGTTTTAATATTATTAAAGTAGTGATCCAGTTATATATATATATATATATATATATATATATATATAATTTCAAAAAATATAATTATTATTGTTGATAGATTAATATTTCATAAAATTAATGATTCTAAATACAATGATTCAAAAATAAAATTTAGCGACTTACATACTATTTATTTAAATTTGATCTAATTTAAGATAATCATTAAATGATTCAATAGAAAAATTATTAATATTCAAAATTTTCCTAAATGATTCTCTATTAATAATGATTATAAATATGATGATTCAAATTATAATTACATTGAAGATTCAATTTAATTTTGAATCTTTTATTTTTAAATTTATATTCTCAAAATCTATTGATATAAAATTGTTATAATTAAAAATAATGATCCACTATTCTAATATTTGTAAATTAAATAATTCGAAAATATAAGTAAATTATAGAGTCACTTACTTGTTTGTTCGGTAAGTTGCATCAAAACCAAGATAATCTCCAAAGGCAGAATAGTTTCAAAAATATTTCAATATTGTTGTTGATAGATTAATATTTCATAAAATTAATGATTCTAAATGCAATGATTCAAAAATATAATTTAATGACTTACATACTATTTATTTAAATTTGATCTAATTTAAGATAATCATTAAATGACTCAACAAAAAAATTATTAATATTCAAAATTTTCGTAAATGATTCTCTATTAATAATGATTATAAATATGATGATTCAAATTATAATTACATCAAAGATTCAATTTATTTTTGAATCTTTTATTTTTAAATTTATATTCTCAAAATCTATTGATACAAAATTATTATAATTAAAAATAATGAGCCACTATTCTAATATTTGTAAATTAAATAATTCGAAAATATAAGTAAATTATGGAGTCACTTACTTGTTTGTACGGTAAGTTGCATCAAAACCAAGAACATCTCCAAAGAAAGAGTAGTTTCGTTTTGCTTCTTCATCCGCCCAAAACAATCCAGTCAATTCTCCATTACTTCCAACACTATAGTCAAATGAAAAATCCTGTAAATAATCTTTCTTCTTCTTCAACTTGTTTATCACACAATCTGCATCTCTTTCTTAAATAAATTCAATTCAATCCTTTTTGAAAATTTTTGTATCTGTTCCTGTAGCTCCAGTATTCTCAAAACCACCCCTGGACTCTTTCATGTATTTATATGCAGCACTTGGTCTCATGTTCACATTTGACATATCATATATGGTTTTCTTTTTTGAAAATGTAAGTCTTTTTTCAAAATTTAGAAAATTTTTATCTTCTACATGAATAAACATATGTGCATGTTTTTCTTTAAGCTTATATATATATATATATATATATATATATATATATATATATATATGTCATACGTTATTATTGTTGACCTTTCTCACATATGCTTCACAGTTTACTTTCATAGAAGGTTTTCTGCGTTTTTTGCTGTTTGAATCTGTTAGAGTATTATATGCAGATTTCTTTTTTGATCCTTGCCTATTACATACTATGTATCTTCTTCCATAACCTTCTACTCATTTCACTGTCTTTTTAGATCCTATTCTTGTTTCAAAACCACTTTTCCTAGCATATTCTTTATAAAATGCTAAACCTTCTTCAAATGTAGGAAAAGTTTGTCCCTTATAAGGTCTGATATCTACATCTGTGATCCAATATGTTTTTCCATTAATTATTGTCTCAATTGGATCACGTATACAATATGATGAAGATTCTACATTCCCTGATGAAGATCCAATATTTGCTGTGATAGAACCATTGTTAAGAATTCATAAAAAATAGTATATTAAATCATATTTTACAAAAAAAAAAAATTAATAACAAAATTACCTTCATCATTACTTTCTGAATTTGTTGTTTTATTATTTTTTTTTTCTTTCTGCATCATCAACATGCATTTGTACATTATATATTTGCTGAATTTTGCTCCAAACCTTGTTTTTGACCTAACATTAACATAGAACCTGATATTAACACGATTTTTATATATATGATTGTTTATATTTGATTAGCCTTTTGTATTAGTCAATTTCGATATCACTCATCATATTATCAAAATAAAATTGAAAACAAATGTATTTTGTACATTAATTAAAATGATCTAAAGTTTTTTATGAATAAAAATTCGATTTTTAACCTAATGATAAAACAGTTCCGTATATGAACAAATGTTGTTATAAATCATGTCTTTTCAATCGTAATGTATATAAATATCGATGAATCGAGATTTAAATCGAAGTTCTTACAATGAATTAGATTTAATCATGTCAATTTCACACGTGATTTCGTTAGAATCGTAATTGAAAAAAACAGTTTTGATACAGAGCATTACAAATCAGCAGTAATCTATCATTTTTTAGTTCGAATCTAAGCTAATTTTGTGTTATGTGAATCTAAATTATAGAGTTTCAGTATAAATCGATGATAATTTCAATTTAACCTGATTTCAAATTCTAAAACAACTTGAATGATGATCGAAGCAAATTTTTACGTTTTTTGAAACATAAATTCATGATTACCAGTAAAAGATAAGATTTTGATCTGAATGTAATCTGATTCCATATAATTTGTATCGAATATTGAAGATTTTAGTAGAAAGAATCTTGATTTCGTCGTGTATCTTTGAAGTATTGATGATCGGAGGTTAATGGCGAGCTGGAAGATAATGGCGTCGTCGTTGTCGTAAGTTATAAGGCCCAACGCTATGTTAGTCCAGCATTAGCAGCCAATTTTTTTGGACCTAAATGCCCTTAATGAGCTTCATTGGCCACGGTTAGTCCTCGCAGTCCTCACCGAAATATGAGTCTTCAACGGATTATATATATATATATATATATATATATATATATATATATATATATATATATATATATATATTATATATATATATATATATATATATATCTCGTGAGGTTTAATAGAGAACCATTATTATCAAGGAATCAAAGAACCAATTGTGAGGGTTAGAAATCATACAAAACTGTGTTTTATAATGTTTTTGATTCAAATTATTCATAAAATAAAATGTTATGTATGTTAGTATGTGGCCCATGTTTTTAAGCCTTGTCCAAGTATAAAAGTATCAAGGTTGTGGCCCAAATGTGTTTTTAAGATAAATAGTATTATAGTTAATGTAAAATTTTATATTTTTTTTGAACTATATTTTATTTATAGTTTGATGATGCAATTTCATTGTTTCAAACTTTTATTATGATTTTATAAATTAAATTCCTTACATTATATTAAAAATGTCATGTATAAAGTCATGAACCAAAATTGTTCTTATTTCACTAATATTTTTTAATCTTTAATATATTTTATGTTAAATAACTATTTTTTGGGATCAAAGTTTTCGAATCAAAAAAATATAGAGATTCAAAAGGAAATTATCATTTATAACACCATTTAATTTGATTAAAAACTTATAAATAATATTTTGGATAAAAAAGTATTTATATATAAAGAATACTTGATATTTTGAACATCATTTTAATAACTTATCAAACATTTTTATTAAAATATTTCATTCATAAATTAATGAAGCAAAATTGTTTATTTTTGTAAATCAAATTTCAGATCTTATTAAAAAAAGTTATATCTATAATTTTGTATCAACATTTTTGCATCAAAATTATAAATATAAAAAGATTCAGAAAGATCTTACCATTTAGAATATTACTTTATTTAAACATTCAAACAATTTTATCAACTACTTTATAACTCATATTTGAATC